TATATATACGACATAGTAAATATCTCCCTGCAATCCCCTTAGATGTGCATATACACTGCGTACACGTGCACGCGCCATTGCCAATGGTATAAGATCGGCTTTTCGACGGTTTCACAAGTACTTGGTTTATAGCGGTCAGTTTACGTCAGACGACGCTCGGCGTCCTTATTTATGGGCAGAGGATTGTTCAACGACGCTATATATTTTACAAATTGCAATCCTTGGTAATACACGACGCTCTAATGGGGTTGATTGAATTTCCGGAATTTACTCGAAGAAATCACCTCCCCCCACCCTTGATCCACGTGGACGGGTTCATGCAGCTTAGTACTGTTATCATTGTTGTTATCTGACAAGGCGTCGCGACGCGGAGGAACGCCAAATATAATTTATCGAAACTGTCTTATACGACGTCTCTCTCGCACACATATCTTTGGGCCATCGTAATGTTATAATAACACTTATGATAAGGGTGTGGTCTAATCTACCCTTATATAGGAACTTGGTATATGGATATGAAAACTGACGGACCTACCTTTAACGAGAGAGATTTTAATGCCCGCAACACGTTTCTAAGGGATGGTATCATGTGTGGGTGTATATATAGGTATACATAAATGTACATATAAATTTGTCAAAAGTTGGTTTCCAGGACTTTTTGTCTTGAGTATGCTATGAGGACACTTGATGTTTTCCAGGACGGGTCTGGAAGTATTTTGATGCGTAACTTATACTTCGTATACACTCGAAGTTATAATGAGCTAAGAAATGGTTTCGTTAGGTTAGATTAGGTTAGAACTCCAATGCCACATGTCTCAAGGTTTATTTTTTTTTTTATAAAAAAATACATCGGCTTACCGTTATGAGTGGCATAGGTCCTGGAAATAGCCCTTTGACAAATTTATATATATATATATATATATATATATATATATATATATATACAGTATATATGCATGTATGTATCTATTATGATTATTATGATTGTTCATATTTTGAATTGTAACCCGCAGTATGGCTGCAGTGCAGTTATTGCCTATAGTATTTGCTATTGCGTAATTTAATATTCACACTTATGGCAACCCTTGGCCGTATTTCATTACTTAAGTCTACACGCATGTAAGTGCCGTTCCCCTCCCACTTACCCCGCTGCAGTGACATACCACTGTACATACATACAATAGTGATCAGTCTAGCACGACTAATGTGTATCACGGCCAAATGTTCAGTTAGCTTTAAATGTCCTATTTTGAGTTATCCTGTAGGCGCAGTTAACAACCCCTGAATATCATTTACGTTCGGCCAAATCATCCCCCGGGACGTGTTAAAGAATATTTTATGGCTACACTGCATATATGCATGGCTGATCTATAACCGGGGTTGAGTTGCAATTGGAGATTCTTTTTTTAAGGGGTTGGGGTGTAACTGCTATTGTTATTATGGGTGTTTCGAAATTACCGGGGGCAAATTAACGGGGTTGTTTTTTAAGTCCAGGGGTGGCGTTAATTACTTTATCGAGCCCACGGGCTCCCTTGAATGAAATACAAGTGTTGAGTGTCTTTTGTGTTATCCATGGTGGTGATGTGAACTGACATCGTACGGGGTAGCAACCCTGATGGGTTGTTTAAATTTTTTTTAAAGTGAGGCGATCATAGTGGGGTTAGACGATGATTATGTGAAATTTTGAAAATTCTTTTGACGGATCTCATGAATTATTTTTCAGGTTTTTTGATAGCTGTATCTTGCTGCAGTGTCTTTTTTTCTTTTTATTTTTGCTTTTTTTCACTGCAGTGCCAGAAAGTTTTGCTCTTGCTTTCTGGAAGGGAAGAGAGAGAGAGAGAGAGAGAGAGAGAGAGAGAGAGAGAGAGAGAGAGAGAGAGAGAGAAATTGTATTCTCTCCCGTCGTTACGCAGCATCGCGTTCCCGGTTTCAGTCTCGACATCCGGCATCCGGTTCCGCTTGCGATTTTTATAGGGATAACCGTGGAAGCTCAGAGTTCACCCCTCTTTGTCGTAGAGGGGTAGAATATCCTTAATCGATGATTCCGAGGAATCTGAAAATTCACTGGAGCGCGAATATCCACTTGGTATATGGTAGAGAATTGTTGTTTACAGAAGAGAAAAGGCAAAGCACCCCTTGGATGGTGGTACCAAAGAGATATTCTCTGCGTCGTCATATCCGCCATTCGAAAAATCAGGGGTCGTATCATTTGTCAGATGATAGAATTCTTCTGTTTTCTGCCTTCATCCCCTTGGACGTACGGCCACTGCAGCGTAGCTACTCCTCGATATGCTTTGGGGGTGCGTGCAGAAAGTCAGCCGGAAGTCAGCCATTTGTAGGGACGCGTGGCTACTGTTCCGGATGTCAGCCTTGAAGAGAAAAATCATTGACTATTTTCTCTTACGGCTGAGATTGCAACCCCTCATCCATATTGTCAATGGCGGTCGGCCATCTTTATTCAACTCTTTGTTTCAGCTCTACTCACCCCCGAGTCTTTTTTTTTTGTGAAAATTTTGGAAAACTGACAAATCATGATGAAATGCATTTTACCGTTCGACTCAGACCTCGGGGGGGTCCAGTGGAGGTTAGGGGTGTAATGTCTATTCTTATTCTGTAGTCACCCTTCACTGGGGGGATGAATCATAAACTATATGAGGTAGAAACATCTGAATATGAATTAAGTGCAGTATAAATGTCTGACGAATGGTAATATTGGCAATGGCTCACGGTTGTGCAATATTGTGCATTGACACTCACTTCCACTTACGTAAGGGTGTAATGTGCGTGGGGAGGGCACGTTTATGAAGAAAATTGTAATTGTTTGGAGAAATATACCCTTAGGAAAATTCGTTGGCTCGCCAATGAGGCTTCATCGCGAAACGAGGAAAACCTCTCAGGAAAATGAATTTATTCGCCCTGTTATCTGTTCTATATGGCAATGACGTCACGGCAACCCCATAAATCATAGAGGAAGAATATAGACAGAGTATAGCCATCCCCAATCTGAATTCCTACATTTATCTTTCTCTTGAGTATTTTATCTTACCCTTATATCATTTTTCGTATACCATGTGAATACCCTGTGGCTATTCGTTATTCAACTATGAAGGGTGAATTTTGAAGAAAGAAAAAAGTAAATTTTTGTTCAAATTTTGAAAGTGGATACATACGCCTTAAAAACCCCCTAGTGGTTCACGTGCTGGAGGATGATGTAGATAGGGACTGAGGAGTTTTCTTGCTCGAATTTACCATCCCTCTGGATGGCTGCTCCTGGGGGATGAAACTTGCCGAATTGACAAGGCCGACGTGGAACGCCGGCTCCAGACCCCCTGGCGCCGTCGCGACGCTTCCAGCTTTTGGCAAAACATATCCCCCGTTAGTATACGTACGGGCGTCTAGCTTTTTTATGGCTACTACTTCTGGGGAGCCGCTTCTCTATTCGTGGTGGCTTCTGTATATACCGTAGTACCACCCTTGGCCCCCCATAAAACTCGTTCTCTTGTCGCAACCATCAACCCACCCAAACTCACCCCTTGCAGCTCCTCGTATATTCCTCTTGGTTCTCATCCCCAGACAAGTCGTTTCCCGCTATTTCTTCTCGCGCTATTTTCGGACTGACCGTTTGGACGGAAACGTCAAGAAACTCTTGGGAATGTTTTCTTGGATTATCCACCCGTGAACAAAAAAATATCCTCTCCAATCCTCGCTAGACAATTTTCGGAAATGGCTGCTGGGTCAAGTACAGTTTCCCGTAGGAATTTATGCGAAAACAAGAAATTTCCTTACCTCTGAACTTTAACATTTAATTCTAGCCTGGAGGTGGGTGGTACCAAAATTGTATTTGAGGGATGATCCGGGTTTTTGAAATTTTACGAAACTTTGTATGCTTTCATTACGTCGGAATTTCGTTTGTATCTTTGTATTTCAACAATCGTGCTGTTAATTATCTTCAAAATTACTGTTACCACTTTCCTTATAGACACTCTGAAAAAATTAACAGAGCCGTAAGAAAGAATTACGCCATATTTTTTTATTTTCGAAAGAAAAACATTCCTAAGAGCGGTATAACTTTCGCATAGAATATCAAGGATCCTATATTGGCACGTTTCGGATGTAACGTTTGTCAGCGAAATTGCCATGGCAGATAAAAATCAACTCATTTTCCTCGTCGTGGGGGTGGAAAATGGAGAGATACTATCCCGCCATCCCCAACTGTAGCAATAAATACAGAAACTAACCTCTATCTTATCCTCTACGATTTCAGTTCCTCAGCGAACGCGCACAAACACACTGTGAAAAGACTCTATTTCTATTGTCTACTAGTATAGTAGCAAATACTATCCTCCTACTTTCATCGGCGAGTATCATCCACTGGGTGGACTCGCACCCTTATATCTGTCGACGTAGAGAGAGACAAGCGCCCTCGAACTTTCCCCATTAATTTTCCACGGAAATTTTATTCCTCGTACACGCGGCGTTCCGGCTTCTTTGTCGTCGCATCTTTACAATCGCACACGTGCGTGAGCGTCGCGACGTCATTTCCAATCGAGCAGCATAATCACGAGAATATATTTCACTCACTATTTTCCTACCGCCTCGCTACCGATCATTCCTTAAATAAGTAAATCTCAATTCCGTGGTGGTAACTGCACGAAAATATCAGGGAACGAAAAAAAGGTTCTAGCACCTGCATCCATCTAGCGGTAATAAGAGAAAATATAATTGCCGATAAAGCAGAGACCTGTCTGCGTTGTATGAAAATTTTGAAAGTTTTCGATGAAAACAGGTTTTTTCTTATGAATATCGTAACAAAAATCTACACCACGATACCTGTCTCATATCCATGTAACCTATATACTCCGAACTCGAAACCGGATTAAATAGGATATCTGGCGCTAATCCAAAGAGCAGCCTTGTGACTTGAGAATTGTTTCTCTAAACTTAAACTCAATTTCTTTACCGTTTTCTCATCACTATTGGATTCTATCTTTCGTACTTGCCTATCATGAAGTAATGCGCCATTTATCGTTCACCACGTACAAATGAATTCAAACGAGCGAGTGGGTTTTCGTATGTCCCATTTTAGTATGGACGTTTAGTATAGTCGCCTCACTCGAATTGCCCACACATAACACGCACGCACGGACCAAACCACTGTTTTTATGGAACACAACATTACACCAGTGCTTTCGCAATAACAAGTGCAGTGCTTTAAAACTTAGCTGGTTTTCTACTTAACATAGTCTCACAGCGAAATGTCTTGTTCAGTTATTAATTTTCGTTATCACTGTGGACATAGATAAGAATAAATATTTTGTATTTCTCTTCTTTTTACTTGTTCTGAATCTCTTCTTCTGATCCAACATTAAAAGATATAGTATCTGATAACAGAAAGCCCTAGTATAAATGATTTGTTGTATCAAGGAAATATTACTTCTGGTAGCACACATTTTATCTGAAAATGAAAAATGAATTTTTTACTGTGCGTAATATAACGAGGGCATAGATATGAGTAATTTGAGATTGTTGTAAAATGTTTTTAAAAATATATTCTTCTAGCCTTGTTTGGTGAAAGGAAGTGTGTGACCGCTTCCTTGTATACAAGATAGCTTCGCTTAGCATTTCCCAGACCACTTTGCATCCGCTTCACTTGTATTTGACGTTGAGCATACACGAGAACAATATATGTAGGTCAGATCAATGCACATAAAAAATGTAAAAGCATTTTCTTTATTTTTATTTTTTCTTCAATTTCCCTGGATTCCATCGAAGGCCATGTATTCGATGTCACTCTGTTGTACATTGGAGGGGGCATTGCTAGTAAGTCTCGTAATATTGCGTCACTGAACCCCCGTTTGTCAGATGTAAACTCAATGGCAGTCGGTCATGACTATATTTGGCGCGAGTCGTGCACTCTTGATTTTGGCACCGTTATGCTCTTCTTTTAGTTATCTTTATTATTTTCTAATATCACAACTTTTCTTAGTGCTCTTGTCAATGATTACAGAAGAAAATATGTACTAATCGATGTTTGTTATTTGCACGAATCTCAAATTGTAAATTGAAAATAATCTTTTCATTGCGACTGTTTCATTTTCATGAAACTGGAAATTAATTCAATAATTTTTCAAAAAGTGGGAATGACATCCTGTCGATTATTTCCAAAGGGATTTCGGCCTGGAAATTATATTTTTAGAGAAAAGTCGGTTTGTTTGGCTTAGCTATTTGCATCGGTTCAGGATCGTACTTGGTACTTTTTGTACCCACGGTATACGATCGATCGTTGACGAACGTTTCTTATTCCATGATCCGTTCCGCATTTTCATAAACGATCATTGACACGGATATTAAAATTCATTTTGGATTCTTTAACAGACTGCTAAATAGTTTACACGTGAAAATCTTTACTCGTTTTGATTGTTTGTAAATTATTTTTACGCTGCTCAAAAAATGTCTTTCTCACCTCGTCGAATAATGGTTTGTGCAATTTTAATTCTAAAAGTTAATTCTACGTAAAAATTGAATAGACGTTTCATAAACGCCAAACTTCTCCCTTTTATTTTTCTTTACTGAAAACGGAAAATGACTCACGGGAAGACACTGCAATATATGGAGCCCTCCGTAAGCACCCACAAATTCTTACGTTCCTGTTCCTGAATGGTAGGAACAACGAAACGGAACCGGAGTCGTAAGAGTGTTGTTGGACGTGAGGTTGTAGCCGAAGTGACAAATTGATTAAACGCCAGTAAGACAGGCTCCTTCGTGCTTATGGATATTAGTCAAAGTAAGTAAAATAAAAGATTCTAGAACACAGCAAAGATCGTCATCGATATCCTTCGAAGCGTTCAGTCCTATTGATTTTCCTGCTGATTTTCCGACAGATGGGCGTGCTGCTCCCAGGCAGCGACAGAGAAGCCTTCGCGGTCCTTGCCAGTATTATAATCGCGTTCATATATTCATAAACGTCTCCGTATACGTTTCTTCTCGTAAAATCCGGCGTTGCAACCTCTCTTGTTAATTCTTCAAATGCCGCATGCCGCTTCATGTAGCGTCTAAGCAGTTCGAGGATATCGACGGTCGATGCTGGAAAAGTTAACCTCAAAATCATAATGTTAACTGGGGGGTAGGGCCATCCAACGGGTGTCTCCCGAAATAGAGATGATTCATAACAACAATAATAATTGACAGTTTCTATCTATTCTCTAGCATCTTTTACATCATTTCCATCCAATTGCTAAACCGTTCACAGACGTCTTTACGATTTTCATTCTAAGAAAAACTAGAGGGTGGTTTTACGATAGTACTTCCTAGGCTGGTGAAGTTAGTTCGAGTTTCTCTTGTTAACTCACATTTTCTTCTTTTTCCTTCTCTTCTTCTCGTTTTCGCTGCTCACCAAACCTCTGCGACACGCCAAAACAATAGCTCCCGGGAAAATCAATAGGCAGGGTGCAAGGAGGTTAAATAGGGAACCCTGTACACTGCCTATACATATCTAATAGACACTGGACTCGCCCGTTATTAGTTATGTTCATTTCAATTTGTTCCAACATATTTCATCGTATCTTCTCTACTTCCTTCCTCTGACCTTCTCTATAGATTGATAAGCGTCAGACCGATTCAATTCAGTGTAATGATGAATGACAGCTAATTGTCATATTGAATATATAAAAAAGATACAAGCTCTCCCATTGATACATCTGCTCGATTCTCGGATAAATTATATGAAAAAAAAATGAAAGAGCTGTATGTTTTAACGCTAGGTAAAAAAGCAGTGAAGTTCCGCTTGTATTTTATAAATAGAACAGTGCGTGTTTCTTCTGAGTCCGAGTTTGAATGGTTGGTCACAATAGTATTCGTAGAGCTTCCCGTCATATGTGTATATATATATGTGTGTCAAACGTATATATAGTTGTCGTGGGTTCCATGAAAATCGTAAACACGCTTCCGGCAAATGCGAAAGTTATGAAGTAATATTATTCCTCCTTCCACCATAACAGATCGAATCCGTGTCTTCTTAGCATTTTGTTAATCATGGCTATGCGCATATCGCAGATGACGCGACATTGCGATTACGTGTGATCCCATTCTTAGTCAGAAAAATTCCAAGTCCCAGTCCGCCATTTTAGGCGCAAACTTATACGGTTTGACTTACGGAGACTGCATTTATGTATTTTGAGACGTGCCTCACGATTAATCGCTCGTCTGGGTCGACGTTGCACATAGACGAAACATTTTACGAAGAATTTGCTGAGCTTACTACTTGCAACATGAATTCCTCGCACAGAGAATTATCCGACAGTGTTTCCTTTTTTCTTTCCATTCTTTTATGTGTCTCTTCTGTAAAACGTTTCGCGCTGTGCCGCATTTCGTGAAATGCATTCGCTTCGGGTTGACTGGATGGCGCGCTTGATATACGCATGATAATCGGCACATTGAGCGTTCCTACTTTACCGGCAGACGGTAAAGAATAAATAATAGAGAGGTTGAATCTTGGGAGAGGAAAAATCATTTCATCCTTCTTTAAATCACAAACGTATGCATGGCCCAACGTTAATAGTAATTTATTATTTTCACATTACTTTAACTAAGATCAGTGTTGACTTTAGGGTCGCTTTAATCTGGACCGATCATAATAACCAATTGCTATCTTCTCCCGCGAGTCTCGTCTTCTATGAATCTCTGCATATATTTTCATAAGGAGCAGACGCTGAAAGTCAAACTAATCTTACGCAATCATCCAATTTTAATATATCCTCTGTCTGACGAATTCACGTTTCTCAGCGACTTTCCTCTTCATTTATAAGTCACTCGTATCCGAATACGTGTAGACGCATATATACGCGTCCATGACTCCGTCACCGAATGATACAAGTGTGCGCACGAGAATCGAGAAACAAATAGCTTCGTTATGAAGTCATTATAGATGATTACCCAAAGCCCGCAGACGGTCTATGACGATTACGTTGTCTCAAGAATGAGATAACCCTTTTTCTCCCGTCGTAATTTCTCTCATCCACTGGAAGATCCACGTAAGCGTTTAGGTCAAAGAATAAAAGAAAGAGTCCTCCATTCAAATGGAGACTGCCTGTGATTTTCTTTTTTTTTTCGTCCCTCGTAAAAATAACAGGAGCTCAGGATCCCATCGGCGGCCAATGCCAAACGTCCGACTAGTCTAGTGACTCTACCACAGCATGCCACCGAATCTCATGTTTTCTTTCTCTTCCCGCAAAAGCCTCAATTTCGTATTTTCTACCCCTCGACATCAGCGGCAGCCCTTTTCCCTTTTCACCGTATCCCAGGGCCACTGGACACTGGGGAGGATTTAATTTATTTATAGACAATTCAATCAGACTCTGAGGTCTGGTCACTGTTATCCGTTAACGTTATAAGTAACGGAGGATGATTTCAACCCTTGAAACCGATCCTCGTAATCATCCTGGCCGGAGGGTGGTATTTCCTGTGAAGAAATACCAAAAATAATAACAACCATCGAATTCACCGTAACAGTGATCCAAACGAATATCATTGTTGATCTTTACCACTTTATACTTTAATACACCCTCCATTATGCACCTGTCTCCCTGATACACGCCTTATTCGCCCTCTCGATGTTCCCTGGCATCATCCCCCTCTTTGTTCATCCTCCCTGAACACATCCTTTGGTCCGTCATATTTAATCCAAGACCACCCTTGTTTGCGTAGTTTTGGGTTACAACTCGTCTAATGGATTATCCTTATATCCTCCTGGACCCACTATCACGGCCGCCATTATCGTCTTTCCCATCCCACCCTCTCTGCACCTTCAACCAACCCCCCTCAAAAAATACTACCCTCCAACATCCGTAACGTCAAGACTTTCTCAAGAAGACGCATAGAGACTCGTACCCAGTATCCACCCTGTCTGGACACACGTGCATCCCATAAACATAACAATGATTTTCTCTATTTACTCTGCTTATTAGTAGAAATCATCCCCTGAGTCTTGGGACGTCCTAACGCCTGCTTGGTGGCTCTCGCGAGACCCGCTCAAGCTCCGACCTTTAGAACAACCCGCAACGACCGTCCTTGGTCTCGCCCGAAAAAACGTCCCTTTCTCCTCGCGATTCAATAGGGTATATGTCAACTGCATCCTCATGACGAATATCGCGGTGAGAAGGGATTGCTGCTTCGTGCGGATACGTGATACACGTTGCCACGAGGTGAAAGACGGGCGGTGCGAACACATTGATTGAATGGGATTTACGAGCTATGTGATTCCCACATTAAGCTTGATACTCTGGGCATACGTGTGTAACGAGCCCATTACAAGATTATAGCGTTATGGCTTGCGCACTTATTAGTTGTCGGAGACTTTCTCCCGCTTTCCTTATTCCTCCCGCTTCGTACCTTTATTTATTATACTCGCAAATTTTCTTACGAGAAAATGGCCGGCAGGGTCGTTATTAGCGGATCCTTAAAAAAATAAGGGATGAGAGAGTGTACACTGCCGAGCTTACGGGATCGAGTCTCGTGAATTTTTATGGAGTACTTGATCGATGTATATGTATTTTTTTTAAATAAAATTTTAAAATTTTTCAAAAATTTCTGTACGCCCTATTCTATGACTTTGGCTACTGTGTATAGACACAGGCATTTATATCGTTTGCTTCTTCGGCATTGGCTTTTAAAAGCTCCTCGTTGTTATGTCGAGCGTGAGCGCGAGAGAGACGTCGCTATCTGGCAGAGAGTTTAATAGAGTGAGACAGCCTCGTATACAGTGAGTAGTAGAGGGCCCTCTCCTCACGGGCTATAGCTCCCATGGAGCCAGCATCAGCAAAGCGTCTCGGCGTCGGAGGCGCCAAAGCGTCGCGGCGCCACCCCCGGCGCCCGTCACTACGCCGCCAATCTCAACCCAACCCAACCTGCCCCCCCTCGTGTATACCCATAAACCGTCCTGTCCCTATCCGAATTTCCACATGCGAAAATCGCCAGGTCTTTTTCTTTTTTCTTGCTTCTCGTCTCTCCTTTTACATCTTTGTTCTTCCTTTCTCCGTTTCTCTTGCATCTTTAGTATTTTTGTCGTTCGATGTATCTGGAATTTGCTTTTTATTCGGTTTTCGTAAGTTTTGCCTAAATACGAAATCAACGCCCTCTGTACTCTTTTTGTGTAGGCATTTTAAAAGCCACTTCGTCACTTCGCACAGTCGCCATTTTCTTCTCGTGTCGTGGATACTCGTTTTCTTTGCTTCTCCATTTTTCACTAAAGTGAACGTTTCGCGCCCTTGTAATTTTGCAGACGCGACGCAGTGAGAACCAGCCCTTACGAGCTAGAAGAGGCAACGCGAAATCACGTGACACAAGGAACAACCGAGGGAAGTTTATTCACCGTAAGAGAATCCACTAAAGGGTGAGTTTCAAGTGGTATATACTTTGCATAGGGATCTTTTTATCCCTCCCTCTCTTTTTGTTTTGTATATTCTTTTATTTTGCTTTTTTTCCCTCCCCGTCTCCGCTCCCCTACCTCTCCCCTTTATCTCGCTCCTCTTTGCGTTTCGCTCGAAGACAACGACGACCGCGACACGACAAATGAAAACCAGCCCATGATCGTTTCACGGGGTCCCGACGACTAACTGCCTGCTCCGATGAATGTCAATAAAAAATACTCATAAAGAGAGAAAATGGTGAAATAGAGGAGTGCGATAAAATGGCTACCGTCATGACTCACCAAGAGACGAGACTGACTGGAACATCCGGAACGCAGCATCCCTCAACCCCCTCCATTTAAACGCAGGGGGTACCGACGATTTTCGTCGTAAAATTTCGTCGGCACCGAACGCATCTTTCTTTTTTCCCATCTAAAAAGGTATACTGACGAAGGGTGGTGGTGGGTGGTGGGAGTATACCCACGTGACAAATACGAAATATTTCTCGGCTATAATCCTCAAAGTATAATACTTAATTGCGACAAATATGGATCGTAAAATTTGAATAGGCATCCCTTAACGAGGGACACGCCTAGACGATATACTCGCTGCCAGGACGGAAATACCTTGAGGGGTGGTACGTACGTATATATTTGTAACTGCATATACATACAATGCAATTTGAATGCACCGTCAAATTTCAAAGCTGTTACGCGACTCGTTATGGTTATTAGTAATTCGAATTTGAATTTTGGATTGTCAATTTTTTAATTTGTTATAATTATACTTCAAAGACTTCAAAGACTTACAATGCCGTGGAAATACTTTTTGAATTTTTTTTTCTTTTTAGATATCTCAAGTCCTTACAAAGATATCGTACAGAGTCAGTCAAAGTATCCCTATTGAGGTTTACGTGGAACCAGCATCCAAGTGGACTGGGGCATATAGGAAGCGTCCGAAAAATCGTCTCGTAATCGTCCAGTCAAATCTCGTAGGGGTTGGACAGGTGACGCACATCCCCTAAATTTTGGAGGTCTCGTCACGGCGTCCGATAGGATCATACCGCACGTTCATTTTGCACAAATGGCAGATTGGTTTGGCAGGGATGCTGCCCGTTTTTGCTATCTTCCCGTCGGGTCTCTAACAGGGGGTTGGTAGTGGGTATTGTGTCGTGGCAGTTACACGTCACAGTGTCTGGTGGCGACTGTCAAAAGTCAAGAATTGGTATTAACCACGTGTCCGAGAAATCAACCCTCCCAGCCCTATGAGATGTCTTATCTCTGATCTAATGTAGCGCAGATCGCCTATCTGTACATCTGTCGCGATGGGCACTATCGGAAGGCATCGCTTAACTGTATTTCCGATAAATACGGGGTGCCTCTGCTATCTACGTAAACTTGTATTTTGCCAGTCCTGAGAGGGATAGTTTATTAGAGGGCAACGTGCTTACCCAATTCTAGCCCGACGACCCCCCTACCGGTACTTCCTGTCTGAAACGAAAGGATCCATGACGTTCCCTTGCACATTTTTTTTTTTGCCAGCATCCGAAATTACGTGGGCGCGCATTGATTCTCCTCGCGGTGAACCACCCTTACCTGATAGTGGCGGTCCAGGGATACAGTGACTGGTGGGGCTATTCGGTCAGCCAATCAGAACGTTCCAGACGGTTTGGCGCCAATCGTAAAACGGAGCGTTCGATAGGAACGAGCAACAAACAATAAATAATCATTGGATGGATGGCCTTTGGTCGCTTCCGTTTTTATCGATGGACTTCCGGTTGTGCCTTCGGATTCTGTTAATTAGTCGTAATTAACTGGGTATAAGAAATTTTCATGTATTATTTGATTTTCATCGGTACGACTGTCCAGCAGGGTTCATGGGGGGGCTCCCTTGATATCGTAGGACCGGTCGAGCCCTTGGGACGAATATGACTACCAACAGTGTATTTCGCTAAGGCAGACGGTCAAGCCGTCTCAACCGGAAGGTCGCTTGAGCCTCCTGTGGAAGCTCCTAAAATACGAAGGGACGAAATAAGTATGGGAGGGAGCGGAGGAACGAAGGAGGGTTGTTGCTGCATAAATTTCCAGTACATCTCAATTCACCCCCAACGGTGACCATTCTCTTACACGTCGTGCCTCTGAGTGACATCCTGAACTTCCCGTAGTGCCTTTCTGGCCTCGCCACCCCTGCGGACTTGCATTATCATCCCCTTCGCTCATGCTGGGGAATGAATTTCGTGAATCCGTTGGACACGAGCGGATACGAGAAAACTTTCTTCAGAATCTTCGTACGTACTTTCCACCAACTACCACTGCCAAGTACCACCCCTACGCGCTGACCGTACACCCACCCTTGCAAATGCATCTATCGGGAGATTCGCAAAACCACCCTTAAATCTTCCCTTTTCAATTCCCGTCCATCCACTTCGTCGACCCGATCGCTCAACCCCCAATCGAGTTATACCCCTTTACCATCTAACTCGTACCGAGGTCCAGCGAACTCGCATCCCCCATCTTGTGCTTGTAACTAAAGAAGAAATAAAATGAAAAAAAAAAGAAAAAAAAAGTAAAAGTAGAAAGCATCCGCTCGCGGTCCAAGGTGGAACCTTCAATTATTTAACCCCTAGCAAAAGGGGGTAGAATACGTAACCCCCCTCCGGTTACGAAAATGGAGCAATGAGAGAGGGTGCAGGGACGGGTGTGTAGGTACGTCGGTACGTAGGTCTCCTAGCGTCGCGACGCTTCTCGCACCGATATCCTACCACCACAGTGCGGACATCCCTTACGGAGGGGATGATGTGCTCGTCGGTCATGTAGTGGGGATCATTCTCCTTGGCATCATTCTTCCCCTGTAAACGGGGATATCGTTGACCAATCGCATCGCTGATTCTACGTGGTTTACCCCCACCAGTTGGGGATGATTGCGCGCGCATCCTCTCGGACGAAACTCCGATTCTCCGGGTGCCACACGCAAGGCCACAGACGCATCACTTCTTTGGCGACAGCCTTCGGGGTAACATCCTCGTTCTCTCTACCCTTGCAAACATTCCTTATCCTCAAAGTTATCCGATAACTACCCTGCTTCGTACCGCGGCACCCTTGTCCTTTATAAAATATCCAAGTTCAAGTTCCTCGTGTTTCTTTGGTACTTTAACCCGCTTTTCCTTTCTCCTTCCTCAGTTTACCTTTTGCCATTTCTGCCTCTTATACAAATTTTTTTTCCGATCCTCAACTTTGAACTACTTCCGGTTCTCGCTGCTTCCGCATCCCCCTTTCGTCAATCGTCATTCGTCACTTGTCGCAAAAGTTTTCTACTTCACCCTGAACATACCTTCTGTGCCTTGTGACAGTCCGTCCAGAGATACATAAGATTCTCGTTTTTATTATAGTATTTTTTTTGGTTCGTCCCCTATACACAGTTTTCTTCTCACCTCAATCGTTACACTAGCCGCGAATTTTTTCGTTTATCTCGTTTGTACGATTTCTGTAATTCAGTCTTCTGCAGTTTAACAAAACTTTTCAAATATCCTACCGAAAGAATATTGCACCTTAAATTTTTTAAAATAATTTTCAATCGTTACACTTTTACAGATTTTAAGTGAAATCTCCTGTAGACACCCGTCCATTCTCTCGTGCCTTGTAAAAAAAAATTCTAATCTACCCTTACGTATACCGGGACTCATTAAAAAGGAAAAAAAGTCCAGAAATTGAAAAAAAAACATTTATTACCTTTTTAGAGGGATAATACACCCTTAAAAAAGTTCTATATTTCCTTTCCAATCCTTGCATCCTTATCGTTCTGCCGTCCAAAGTTAAAGAGAGAGGAAATAGAAAAACGTAGAGAGAGAGAGAGAGAGAGAGAGAGAAAGAGAGAGAGAGAGAGAGATTAGAGTATAGCGCGCTATAGCGATAACCCAGTCAGCATCCCTTAAATTTCGTAAAACGGGGTAAAAATATTCGCCGAAAAATAAACGTCGTTTATTGTGATAAACCGAAAGAAGAGCCTTTGAGAGATCAAAAAGAAAGAAAAGGAGAGAGATAATAAAAGAAGAAGGGATCGAAAAGAGAACTCGATAGGGTGCCAAGTTACATCATGAAATTAGCTGGGTAAGTAAACCGTGTGTAATTTGTTATGAAAAAAAATTATGTGTTTTTTGTTTGTATCCTGTACATTTGCCTGTACGTTCATCAGTGTTATATCACGTTTCATCAAATTATCTTTACTTTTGCTTATCAGCTGCTTTTACGTATCGTGGTCAATGACCGCAATTGTTAAAGGGATGAGAGATTTTTTTTCGGCTGTAGATGTTTTTCGTCTCTGATATCAGCAGTGATTTCCTGCTTTGAAATTATCAAGGCTCGGGTGTGTGCATGTGTCAAAAATAATTGACCAGGTAAAATATTTGCTTTTAAAGCGGATACGTCAATTACACATTCAGGATATATATATGTGCCATAGGGGTGGATTTAGCGTGCGGAGCCCTTTAACGTCTAGGGATACCCGATAGGATAATTCCTGGGGTTTAACTTCTGTCCGGACACTCTCGCTACCCCACTGTATAAAATAAATTTCCTCCCCCACCCCCACCCGCGGTACTGCGAGAAGCTAGGGGTTGAAAGTATATTGTTTTTCGGTTTTGTTTCTTTATACAAGTTTTGATGGGGAAGGGGGTGGGGGTGATAGGTATCTTGATAAAAAAAAATTCGCGCATGAGGCGTGTCCCCGTCACTTCATTCCCCTCGGCCCTTGGGGCTTAAGGGATGCTATCGAATTTCATCGAGTATATAAACGATATATGTACTTGCGAAGGTAAACTGAAAATCGTTGAAATATCTTTGGAATGACTTGGGGAAGGGATGGAACCCTTAAGTTAAGAAGGGGATGATTGAGATCTTACGATACTTACGTAAGGGTTGCTTACGGGGAGGCACAAACGGCGGTGAGTAGTCTAAATGATTGCGGTCTTTTTTTTTTAGGGTGGTGGTACATGAAAAATCATGAGTTTAGGGGGAGGTCACTGTCAACCCTTAATATAATTCCAACATTTGTCCACCGAATAGGGGCGGAGGGGGTGGGTGGGTGCTGTTCGCCGCAAAATAAGCGTGCGGTAAGCTTTTGCCCAGGTCCGCGACGGTGCTGCAGGTTCTGTAGAAGACACGTCAGAAGTAAGGGTGAAATAATTCTCAGACCTTACTCGAAAACCAGCCTCCCTTCTTCTTTACCCCAATTCTTGGGGGTGTGTTACTGGGGCACCAGTGCGCAGAAGCTCCGCAAAGCCCGACGCGATTCGATTCTCCCCAACCTTTTCCCACCCCCCGTGCGAACCGCATCTCATCCCTGTGTATTCTGCCCTTTGGCCAGTATACCCCCACACTCCCCCAAAAGATAAGGGGTGGGTCACCACCCCCCGACATTTCACCCGGTTACATTTCCAGCCTCGGGTTCTCCACCGCGGCACATTCGGTTTCTGGCGACTGACTGGGGTAGTACGGTCCGGGCTAGTTCAACCCTTAGCCATAGCTTATACCCTCGGAACGACTCTTAGTTTATTTGCCGCGAATCATGGCTTAGGAAAAACCCTTGAGATCCGTCGACGTAAGAGGAGTGTGTAAATACCGCGTACGGTTTGCCACATTATAATTCGTCGTATCCACCCCTATTAATAATCATCCCTTAACTTTTACGAATTGTCGCGTAAATTCAAAAAGACTAAATCGCATACCAGTGACAAGTGTTAACTTCTAGTTCAGTCGGTCCTATCCCACCATGGACCTGAACCCCTGCTGTAGCTTCATCGGTATGATGAACTATCTCTACACCAGGAGTCTTCATCGTAAGCGAGGACGAAGACGCGGGTCGCTTCAGGACACGGAGACCTTGGGCATTCCGCGATCTTGGGTACATTGAAGGCAGAGGCGTTTAACGAGTTGTGCAACTTAGTCAGCCTGATTTAGATGAGACACGTTAGCGTGGCAATTTTTAGTGCTTTTCGTACGGGGTTAGTTGAATTGTGGGGCGGGTGGGGTGGAGGGCGAAGAGACGTATATTGAGACAACGATGCTGTGGCGCAAGGTAAATAACAATTATCTTTGAAAGTTGATTGGTGAATGGTAACGTATTTATTTATTTTTTTTCTTAAAACTTTTTGAAAAAAAAAAAGAATGCCCCAAGACTTTTTTGAGAAACTGATGACACGACGCTCTGCACGGAATCGTTTAAAAGTCGTAAAACAAGAGGCTTGCTCTTATTCGAGCATCCTGCGACCCCTATCCCGGTGACGAAGGTCTCGCTTTGATTGACGAATTCATCTCTACGACCCCTTGCTACCACCCTGTGTGAAATAGTTACCGAGGATAACCGTGTACATCGTCATCCTTTGATCGCAATTCATCCCCATTCAGCCAGCATCGATACAAGACACTCCTCCTCGCCCCGCGGTGTGATTAATAATGCTAGGGGTCTGCCTGGATCGTACGGGCTGTTGATCTTCGTTAAGGGATGCTCTCGTGCGGGGAGGTCATACGCGATTCTTTCTTCTGGAACCTCAAACCACCCTCTGAGATTCGAGGATATCATTCCCCTCCACACTTGCTCCTTAGCTATGGTGGATCAGCAGGGGTGCTCGCGTGATTGGCACATTGTGCCGATCGATTAGCAGCGCTAACCCCCACGGATTAACGATACTGCCATTTGGGGCGGGGGGGGGGGGGG